TTATCACTGAAGTATTGCTACAAACTCATCTTCTAGAAATTATAATACGTGTTATAATAACAAAATAATATTTTAAGAAAGCTTCACCCAAGCTATGCCATGGCAAATGAAATTTACCATCTACTTTAGAGAGAGCTTAGAGAGCTGGAAATGTGTTGCTGTCCATGTTACACAGCACAGAATTTAAAGTATTGGCATTGAGCTCAACACCTTTGCCTCACAAGGCTCAACAATGAAAAGGCTTTAAAGTTACATGACTCAGTAATATGTAGGGAGCATGTTTTACAAGACATCTTGAGATAGGCAAAGAAAAATTATATTTAAAAGCTATAAGTGAAAAAGAAGTTGCATATTAGAGAATTTTAAAACTGAAAATAATCATGGCCTTAGAATGAATGTTAATATTATCAAAGCACTGAAAATTAATGAAAAATGACTTTCAGTCAATGCACATCTTTGTAGTCACATGAAATACTAATGAGTTCAGAGATATTTGTATGTAACATTTACTATTATTTAGTGTAATGTTGATCTAGAATTTTTTAAAAGTCATTAGTGAAGACTCAATTCTACTTTGAGTAAAGTTAAAATCATTATTATTATTATTGTTGTTGTTGTTGTTGTTGTTGCAGTACCAAGGATTGAACCCAAGGCTTTCTCTATCCCCCCCCCTTGCCACCCTCCCTCCTTTTTTCTCTCCCTCCCTCCTTCTCTCAAATCTGAGACAGGGTCTCATTAAGTCGTTAAGTTTCCTAGGCTAAATTCAAACTTTCAATCCTCCTTCCTCAGCCTCCCAGAGTGCTGGCATTATAGGTATACAGCAACAAATCTGGCCAGAATTTTTCAATAATACAAAATACACAAAGGATATATTTTTAAAAGATTTTCTCACAAACTTGACAAAAGTGATGGCATTATCATCTTTTAAAAAAAATGGTTCACAAGAGTGGATTTTAAGAATAAATTATTAACAAAAGAGGAAAATCCAAAATGGCCAATTTGATCTCTACATTGAGGCCTTTAGTGCTCCATTATCCACTTTAGTGTACCAAATGAAAATAATTTATAGAAGGATGTCAAACACTGGAAATCTTGAGCAATGCTCAACAAGCAGAATATGTCACAAAAGAAATTTTTTATGACCTGAAGAAATGCCTTGAATTTCCTACCTCTTTTCAATTTAGTCTTGCTTCTAAACTTCTATGCTTTGGGACTAATCGTATTTCTTATGAAAACAAAGAAAGGGAAAAGTCTTAACTATGGGGAACTTAAGATACATATTAAGAAAAATAATCTGTAAAATTATACCAAAGAAAGGAGAGAAAATATTTTTTGCACTTCATTTGGTTTCTTTCATATAATTGGTTTTCAATTAATTTTTACTAATTAATTATATCACTTTTTGTTTTGTTCCACTGGGGACTAAACTCATAACCTTCATATTGAGCTACAATCTCTTTTATATTTTTTAGTTTGAGACATGGTCTTGCTAAGTTGCCCATTTGGACTAGAATTTGGAATCCTCCTGCCTCAGTCTCCCAGATTTCTGAGATTACAAGCCTGCATCACCATGTCCATATTGGAATACTTAACATTAGATTGAAAGACACTAAACGCAGTAGGTATTCAATTACTAGTCCCAATAAAAAATACTTATTTTCTATAATTAGGCAAATGTAATATTACAGACTTATCTCTAAAAGACATTTAATTTTTTTGTAAGTTAAAAATAAGATAAATTCTATAATTAAAACATGTGCCAGACAGGTGTGGTGGTGTGTGTCTGTAATTCCAGTACTCGGAAAGCTGAGGTAGAAGGATTGCCATCAGTTCAAGGCCAGCCTGGGCTACATAGTGAGTTCAAGATCAGCATGAACTACAGAGTGAGACCCTGTATCAAAAGAACAAAAACAAACAAACAAAAAAAATATGCACATGGAAAATTACAGGCAATTTAAGAAATATGCACCAAAATGTGTGGAAAGTAGCAGCAATTTAAGGGAAAGTAAAAACAAATTATGCACAAGAGAGTAACACTATAAATTAGCATCAATGGACAAATACGTGTAGAATAAACAGAGAGGCAGAGCTTCAAGAAATATAATTTAAATATCAATTATTGCTGCCTATTCCATTATATCTAGACTGAGGGAAAATATTAGCAATGCTTTTAATCCCAGAAAGCTCTAGAGAACTCAGGATGTTTAGAAAAGTTGGAAGACATTAAGGTCATTTTTAAAAGACATAATATGTGCAGTGTCAGAGTTATTCTAGGCCCACATCTGTGGCAATCTCCTGATTTTAATTGAAGCTTATAATCTTAAAAGTATTTCTGCTTACATTTGGGATGACTGCAACAGTAGTATATTCCTATTACTTGTTAAGCAACTAACTTACTTTTCATGTTAAATTTCCATGATTACATATTTACATTTGAAATTGATGATAGCTTTACGTTTCTAAAAAAAGTTAACAATTTATTTTCCTTTATAAAATATATGTTAAAATACTGGAAAATGATTGAACTCCAGTCAAAGCCTTTGCTCTGACAACAAAACCATTTACAAAATCCTTATGTGATAGGATCGGGGATTTGGCTATGTGGTTTCAGTGCCTGCCTTGAAAACACAAGGTTGCAAGTTTGATTCCTGGTATTATTATTAATATAGTACATATATATTTATGCATCATCAGAATGTGGTACTATACTTCATATAAATATACCTCCTTAAAGTCGAATACTTCTACCAATTGCCTTGCTATTAACTGTAAATAATGTAATCTTCATATATTTTAACTCTCCTCTGTTAGAACCCTTAGTTATTCAGCCCAGAGTGATATGTACTCCTAGATTGCTATTTACAGAAAACACAATACTTGGGTGACTGCAAGCTCACAGTCTACTGGTGGGCATGCACTGATGAAGAAACAACTTCAAAAGAACTGGGCACAGAATGACTGTAACGAAACTTTGTGGTCAGGGACATAAAAAAAAATACAGGACACTTAGACTAACTTAGTATTTTCTTTTTTATGTAAATTTATGATAATAGAAACAAATATATGACAAGATAGATAAATTGAACTCATGACCCATGAACAAAAAATAGTTATAAAAATTATAGCTCAATTCAAGCTCTAGCATATGGTTGTTCAAAGTTGTTTACCAAAAATTCTAGGATTCATTGTTCCAGCAATGGCACTGGTTTTCTGTGATGTTCTCTGCACTACTATCCCTTGACTTTTGCAGTTTACTCCTAGCCCTTCTCCATCAAAGTTCTGAAAAATAATTCAACCCTAATATTCTGACATCCTTTGTATATCCCCAATTAACTTCCCTCACATGCAAATCATGGTTAACTAGAAAAATAGGATCCACAAGAACCTGCAGAAAAATGTTGCTCATAATTTTCTGCAGGGATTTATTCTTTTGCTGAACTTCATGGAAATGACTGCTTAACATATACAGTGAATTACACTTAAATATTACTTAAAACTTTCTAACTCCTGCAAAATTTTATCACTTCACTAATTTTTGTAATACTGCAGTATAGTTTTTTGACTAAATACAAAAGGGATAGAATATATAACATTTTTCTTATTGTTGAAAGTAAAGCTCATGAAAAAATTACAACTAGAAATTTAGAAACCAGTTGGCTTAGTGATGCACTGCACATAGTATATACTTAGCTTGGTAATATCTTGATACCAAAATTTAAGTAATGAGGTAAGTTCCTTAAGGCTTTTATTTCTCAATTATGTCTACATTTTAACATCCTAATACCTAAGAAGGCATGTCACTGACATTCCATAATGTAGATAATATAATTTGTAGAAATACTGTATTCTTTCTCCCTAAGAGATTTAGCAAAGCTAGCTTCATATTGAAGGCAAAAATGCTTTATGAAAGCATTTTTACATTTTTGTGTGTAGATTTTTTTATGGAGGATGATTGTTCCTCCTTAATCTCTCTTCAAACATTTATTCCTGTTGATTAATTATTTAAATACCCAAGTCTTTTAAATACCCTATTTGACAGTTGATTAGTTGTGTCCTTTGTATAAGCATGGTTTCAAATAAGTAACATTTTTGTTGTTTGCGGTGCTAACCATTGAACTCAGGGTCTTGCTCACGTTAGGCAAGTGCTCTACTAACAGAACTATATACCTGGCCCCAAAGAAATAATTCTTATTCATAGCATAATTATTTGATATTTATATTGGAAAAGACAAGCAGAGAACCCAATCTCTATTTATAATATGTGTAAATATTATTTTAAAATAAAAAGGTAGAGAGGCTCCCATTCTCACAATTGAATACCTGTAATTTGAAAACATGTATTTATGTCTTTTAGCATAAATTTCAAATATACGTACTAATATTTTAATTTCTTCCTAAAATTACTTCAAAAATATAGGGTGAAAATATACATAAAAGAGCTTAGGTTGTGGAAAAGGGTTAAGTTGATAGTAACAAAATATTGTATAAATAGGAAACAGATTTGCCCAATCTTGGGCTTTGTTATTTGTTACATATACTTTTGAAACAACTATTAGTCCACTCACTGATAAGACTGATTTATATTTCCTTATGGGTCTAATAAAAATGTATATTTATTTTTAAAAAGACTTATAATAATCTTTTATGTATTGTTATCCTATCATTCTCATTCAAAGTAAAATAACAATGGCTCCAACTCATTGAGAAGGACAAATAGCAGACCTTTAGAAACTCAGAGATAACAATTAAGACAAACATTTCTCTTTTTAAACGTGCTGAGAAACAAATTGACACCTACTGTATCACAAGAGAAAAGCTGAAAAGCAGAAGGTCTTCATTCAAGCTTCTTTTTTGTTGAACAGACTTATTTATTAATACTTAACACATTTAAAAATGTTTATGCAATTTTATTTTTTATGATGCAGAGCTATATTTCATTCTGTGATTATGATCTAGTTGATATATTGAACGGGAATAAAAGGCCATGTAATCATAATTACCTTTTTCAATATGCATCCTCTTTGACTCATGTGCCATGTCATGACCAGCCAAATCTCCCTCCTTTGGTCCAGGGAGCACATTTGGTGATAAACCCATCAGCACCTGGTTCATGGACAACCCATTCTGATGGACAGCTGTTAATTCCAAAACAAAACAAGCACAAAAACATCAAAAAACAAAAGGTTCAAACAGTTCAATCATAGTCTTTTAGATTCAAAAATAAATAAAATATAAATGGTCTAATTTTAAAATTCTAACTTACCCTTAAAATTATCATTATCCTATAATAATTGATAACTGTGATAATCTTAATAAGAAAATATCAAAAACACCACCACTTTATTTTGTGTCACGTAGAATAAAATATTTTAATGGTTAGAATAATTATGATAGCTATATTACTACAACCATTACCAGTGAAATACTAAATCTTTTAATCTAGACCATCAAATTCTCTCCTCAGTAAATAACTTCTTAATTCTACAGCAGGTACAATCTAAGCATTACAATGCTCTTTACGAAGTTAAAATTTAATAAATACATTCTAGTGATCTTAAACGGTAAATAGAGTTTTCCGCTGGTTAAGGCAATCCAGTATGGTTTCAATATTCTTACTCTATTCTAGTCAACAGAACGCAAAGTATAGAAGGTGTCAAATATTCCTCTAAAATTGCTTTTGAAATTAAACTTGAAAATAAAGGTGATCAATAAATTCCTACTAGATGGCTGAATAAATAAAAACAATAATTGCTTTTGTAAACTGTTAATAGTAACGTTACTTTTGAAATTGTAAAACACCATTATTGCTGAGTTGATTAAACATTTATGACTTTTACAAATTCATCAATAAATTCAACTTAATGAACTGTCCATGAAAGTCTTGGTTTTCTGCACAAATTTAAAAGAAAGAATAATTACATAAACCTTACTTTCTTTGGAAAGTAAATATTTATTTAAATTTTAAGAATTTCCATTTGGCAACCACAACTAGTAATAATTGCTTCAAGGATCAATGATAATTCTTAAACTAGTACATGAAAGTTTGATAAATGAAATAATACATATGTAGTCTTAGGATGTTTCCTCACAAGATGTCTAATGTCTTCAAATATTAAAAAAGTAACACTGTAGGGCCGGGGACTTAGCTCAGTGGTTTCACTGCCTGTTGCGCAAGCGCAAGGACTAGAGTTCTATCCCCGGTACAAAAAAAAAAAAGGTAGCATTGTAGTAAAGAAAACTGGTAGTCATCACCTTAACAAAATGATAAATTTATTATCCGTAATACAAAAATCATTTCTTGAAACGTTTCACTTCAAAGATACCCTATCATGGCTGTGTTAACCCTGACAAAAATGCATAAGCTAAAGCTAATCATGAGGACTAAAAAAAAATCCAAGCTCAGGAACATTCTACAAAATAAATGCCTATACTCATCAAAAATACTAAGGTACTGAAAATAAAAGACTTAGGATCTGTTCCAACTTCTTTAGTTAAAGGAAACTAAGGAAATATGACAACTAATAGCACTGGGTCATGATGAATCAGCTTTTGAAATTAGAAAGAAAATAATCTTTTTATTAAAAATATTAATGGGAAAATTCGTTAAATTTGAATGAAGTCTAAAGTTTAGGTAACAATGTTACAATAATGTTAATTTTTAAATTTTAATCATTATTTTATCATTATGGAAATTAAATATCTTGCTTGTAGAATATAAACAAGGAAATATTTGAAGCAAAGAAGCTTTATGTCCAAAATGTGAGGCGCTAGTAGCAATTTCCCTGATAGAGATATCTTTATCATATACTGATTGACTAATGATTGATCTATGGATTGATTGGGTGAGTCTGGATGGCGAGTACATAAGAATTGTGTGTGTTAAAGTTGGAAATCTGTTAATCTAAAATTATTGTTAATTATTCATTAAAAAGAAATGTGTATATATGTGAATATACACATGTGCATTCTTATCTGTGTGTATACTTGCTTATATTTCCATTTCAACAATTAGGGTACTCCAACAACACACAAAAAAAATCTGTTTATATCAAGAATACAGAAAATGAACATTAATAAAATAATATGAATATATAACAAAATTCTTGCAAATCATCCTCAAGCTGCCCCTTGCTTCCTTTCAATTATTAGGAAAACAAATATTTTTCTTTCTTTAGGAGGACAGCACCAATTCAATGTCAGTATCTTATAGAGACATTAGAAATGACACCAATGTTCATTATTAGATTTCTGATCCCAGTGTCAGTATATCATAAAAGCATACAGATAGTAATTACTACAAGACTTTTGAGGTATTGGGAGCTGAATTTTACCAACTAAGAAAGTTATCAATGGTTTGAGGATGATTACCAAATGATATATTTGTATCATAACAAGTTACCACAGTTTAATTAAATTAAAGAAATAAATTTTTGACAGGCCAAATCAAATATTTATATTTAGTTTTATGTATAACTATTTAATTGCTACGAATTGACCTTTTATTTATAATTTTATTATACACACTTCTTCACACTTTATTCTGATACTCAATAGCATCCAGATTAAGGATTTTTGCCTTTTTCAAACATTCTTTTACAACCTAGTTAGACACTCTCAAAAAATGTTTTCTGTTGGAAATACTCTCAACAACAAACTAACTCCAATAAATTTTGTGTAATTAGCTAAAATTCATACTATGAATTTGATTTTGTAAGGTAATAAATATTCTCTAAAAGTAATATAATATATATCAGTTTTGTCTACCACACTAATCTTTTTTAATGAAGTCATTTTGATGGGAAAAAAAGTTCAATTCTTATTCAGACACAATGAACAATTGTCTATTAAGTAATTTCTTAAATTTACTCTTAATTTTTTTGTCCATGGGGACCAAGATAAATGTAAAAAATGTGATGAAATAAAACACACCTTTTAAGTTTTTAGTAACATATAGCAATATGTATTATGATTGGCCAAATTCTAAAATTTAGCCAGTATAAAATTTTTCAATTCATTGATCATGTGAATGACTTGGCATATGTATATCTACCTGTCTATTTATTGTTTTAATCTACTGTCTTGATTTTGATTTCTTTTATTCTTCCTTGTGGAAATCTTCATTAATGCAATGATGAATTTTAAAAATTAGTAATTACAAAAATGAAGAGATGGGATTGAAGGAATAAAGTTGAATAATCAATAAACCATATCTTCAGACAGATTTTTGAGAACAGGCTGTTTACTTCAGAAAATAATCCAGAAGATTATTTACATTTTCTAACTGTTTCGTAGCTCAATTCTGTATGTGTAGAATCAAAGACGGGAAGTTTCTATGAGAACCTGTTAATGTCGTATCATACTTCACGATATTCCAAACTGGGAAACATAATTTTGAGAGATGGCTATTGCTGCAGAGTTCTATTTGGAACGAGGGCATTTTGATTAGAAAAGCCAGCTGCACCTAATAAAGTCTAAATCGGTGACAAGGACAAGTGTGAGACCTACGGATTCTGTCAGAAGAGCTCTCGGTCCTTGCGGGGGAGCTGGACACGCTGCTGCTGCGGTGTGAAGACGGGTGGCTGCCGGGCCTGCGACCCTCCTCCAGAGAGGGGGCTGGCGAGGGACTATCAGGAACGCGCTCCTGCACCATGGGGAAGGGAGGAAGAAGACATGAGGCGAATTCAGTAGGTCATGACTTAACAAATCTTGATTTTTCTTAAATACAGTAAGAAATGTGAAGAGAATGAAACATTCACTAGCATTTAACTGTACTAAAAGACATCTTTTATTTTGAGCAAAACCTCAACTTCAGCTAACTTGAATTCTTCAATGCATTCATCATCTGAAAGACTAAAATTTTTGTTTGTAAAATAGGGAAGGAATGCCTATGAAACTATGTTCTACAGGTCAGTTTCACTGTAGTCATGGTGGCAATTGATCTCCTCTGGAGAAAAAGTGAGCTTGAAGAAGACAACCAAAAGCATCCATGAAGAACCTATAGACATTTTTCCTTTCCCTTCTTTCTTTTCCCCTGCCCCTCCCACTACCGCTACCCCTTTGGAACTTTTCTTCCTATTTTGCATCAGAGTTACTTCTTAAAGGCTCTTTGGTAAGTATTGATATGGGACAAAAATATTCTCTTACTCTGGGCCAGTGCATTATCCTATTCCCAATGAAAAAGGTCTAATGTAATTAACATATTACTAGGTAGATGAACAATCCTACTCCTAGGTATATAGAAGAGGTTTCTTTACTACTAATAATAACTAGATAGCATACATTGGGTACTTATCCTTACATTAGCTCCCTGAATCTATATCAGACCCTGTGATGTATATATCATTATACTGAAGGGAAAGGAAAAATGATGAGAAATGGAAAAAATGGAAATAAAGTCTTTGTAAATAGGGAAGGGTGGAGGGGGTGAAGGGAGGGCTAGGAATGGGGAAAAAATAAGAACCAAGATGCATTATATAAAGGTACAATTCCCAATGAGAAATGTAATTGTGTTGTATACCTACAATGTACCAATAAAAGAATTTAATAAAAAAGAAAAAGAAAAAGAAAAAAAAAAGAACCTATAGACAATGAAGAGCAAACAGAACAAAGTAGGATTAAGTTTTAGATACTTATTTGTTTGAAGAAATTTTAAAATATGGTTTCCTGTTTTAGCAAGCATCTGGAGATCACAGCACACGAACTATCAATGTGACACTCCATGAATACCATACATAATACTCATAATACTATCAGTACCACCAGAGTAGTTGTTAATAATTATTTCATTATGATATTGCTTTGGACTTACTCAGACAGTCACAATTTGAAGCATCATACAAACAGATTATTATTTAAAATTGTAGAAATTTTCATTGATTCAAATAATTTTCAGAATAGTTATGACCCCTCTTCTCCATTTGAACCTAACAAATGTATTAAGAGAAAACTCAGGAAATATGTATTAATTGTGTTTAGGGAAAATTGGTTTCATATATCCTGGTACTATTGTATGTAAACACACATACATCATACCAAACTACTCCTAAGTTCCAGACCTTTGCAAAAAAAGTAACATGCAAGCACAGTATATAAATGCCTCTGATGAGCTATTATAAATGGAGTTACAGATTAACAATTAATGTATGCATTGTTAATATTTCTTCTTTGAGCAACAAGATATTTATACTTTCATGTATTAAAGACATAGGCCTTGATGAATTTTCTTTACAATAACTAATACATTTTTAAAATGTAAGGGTAAGGCTCCAAATAAAATATAGTAAGTGCACTATTGCTTAAAAGGGTAAAATATACAAATATTAAAAATTGAAAAAGAAAAAAGTTCTAAAATATAATTGGCCTGTGGGGGGGTTAATGTTTCAAAAATAAAAATGGTTTACTTAATACGAAAAACAAAGCAGAAACTCAAAGCTCTGTACGGCCAATGAGAAAGGTGACAATGCACATCATTGCTCACAGCATTTCCATGAGTTCCATGATGATTCAGGATTCTACTGCACCTCGGGGTCACGACAAAGGTCCTAAGTAGCCTGTTCCTGGGCTTCCCACTTAGCGATTCTGGTTCACAAGTGTCACAGCTGAATTGTGTCCCCAGAATAGACATTTTGCAGTTCTAATCTCCAATGGGCTCTTTTCCTTAAGACTTTAGCTCCAAAGCCATGTAAAGATGGAGGCAAATATCGGAGTTATATAGCAGCCAGGTGAGGAAGGTCAAAGATTGCCAGCCAATACCAGAAATACGGAGAGGCAAGGAGGGATTCTACCCAGGATCTCAGAGGGAGAATGGTCTGCCTGATATCTTGATTTTAGACTTCTAGATTGGAAAATGTGCCAGAATAAATTTTTATTGTTTTAATCCACCCAGATTGTGGTTCTGTGTCACAGTGGCCCTAGGAAACTAAGATAGTACTCTATGTCAGGTGGTGCCCAGACTTTCTGAAGATTCTGCAGATGGCTAGCGTGTAATAAAAATCATATATGCTATAACTTTTTCAGTGCTGTACATTATCATTAAAAATTTTCAACAAATACCCTGAGACTTCTTTTCTGTGAAGTCTGACAAATAAATGAAAATAAGCAGAAAGGCTAAGCCCTCTTCCAAAAGCCATGTCATAAAATGATTTTCCAACAGGATAAAAAATAATCCTATAAGAAAGCATGACAAAAGATTTTCACGATCCAACAATACTGTAAAGAAAAAAGGTAGGGGATGTCAACTGAACAGTTCTCTAGAAAGGTGCAATGTATATATTAAAATGTTAAAATTATAACCTACTGAACTTTAGGAGCGTTTGGATAGATAATAAAAGATTCCCAAAGTACATGTGTTATCATTATACATAGCACCAGCCCTATACCTTAATTGATAACATATTAAAAATTAAGAGCACTGTTTTCTGCAAGTAGCAAAATTGATTAATATTTAGATAAATACAAGATACATATATTTCTCAATGAAATTCCTGTGAAATTTTAATTTGAAAGACTGAGATGATCATTGACTAGGAGAAGAAGAAAGAAAACCAGAGGGAGAAAACTCACATATACTCCAAACCTTATAATTTAAAACAAGCTTATTCAGGAAATTTATGGCATATCAAATATTCGATAGAGTAGAAGACATTAAAGAAAAATATCAGGCAACCGTAAAATGTGCAGATTAAAATATTTTGAAATCTCTAAAATCATTTCACTAACCTGATTATTTTCCCATCATAATAAATTTCTGTACTGCTAATAGAAAGCATGAGAATGTTTTTTTCTGAGGTATTTATGTCATAAAAACTTAAATATTTAATGCATAAGACCCTAGCAACAATGGTTCTGCCATTAAAAGGAATTCTTTGTCTATCTTAACATTTTCCACATAAGTATAAAAAAAGGTTACATGAGCCAATATATTTAATTGTCAAAGTTTCCTGTGGTGATTCCTTTAATTCATGAATTATTCACTTATTCTTTTATACATTCAAAATACTCTAAAAATCACATAATAAACTAAGTAAAAATATATTAAAATCTTAATGTAAAATACATTTTAAAAGCACAGTTTAACTCTTAGGAAAAATTGATACAATTGTAGTATTAGCTTTGGAATTAGTAATTAATTGTTGTTATACATTTAAGAACAAAGTACAAAAACAATACTTAACACTTTTATTTAAATAAATATTTTAATTTATGCAAATTTCATGATTTAAAAGCTTAATTATTCAATTGAAACTTTCTATAAATTGATACAACATATTCAGTCATTTCATTTAATGTATAATTTCAATCTTTGGAACATGATGCATTGTTCTTTGAAGAATTTCATTAAAGTAAAATCCATTGAGCAAGTAAGATTTGAATACATTCTTGCACAATAAATTAATTTAACAGCTTAATTCTTTTATCATATTTATATGTCTGCCTTTCCAGAGTATTCTATAAGATGGAAAATAATGGAGACATTAAAGAATTGCTTAGGAGAGAATCTCATAATTATTAGTGAAACAAAATAGATAATGAGTTTTATTCAGACATAATAAGAAAGAAGTACTTCAATATCTATAGGGAAACTGTGTAAACTGAATTTATCATTTCATTTGTGTAATACCCTTTAACCTCCAAGATGGTCTTGAAGTAGAACAGAGAGGAAGAATTTAATTTAATACTTCAACACACTGCTTTATAGTCCTGCATCAACTCCACCAATCAATAAAACACAATATTTTTCAATGTTCCATCTTTATAAAACTCGCCACAATAATAAATGAAAATTTAAGAGGAGTACTCTTACACTGAAAAAAGGTCATACTAATAAATTAATGGTAACAGAATAAACAATAAAGGGAAAGCTGCATTTATTGATGCTGGGAAGAACGAGAAGTATTCATCTCTAGGATAATTCAGAACCAAAGTGGAATTAAAAAACAGTATACTCTAAAATTCAAAAATAAAAATATAAACCATTTAGTATTACACACAAGTAATTAAACACTTCAAATCTTCAGTATCTCAGCTGCCTCCTTTCTATCACAAATATATGTATTGTAGTTTATCAACTTAATCTATCTTCTTATTTTAACAACTCATTGCTCTAAAGGATAATTTTATTTAGCTTTAATTTATCTTGCTTTTTCATTTTAATTCTCTTTACTGTTATCAGTATTTCATTCAGAGATTCCCTCACTGGATATGATATAGAAATATGAAGACTGATAATTCTAGCATTAAATAAGTTATCTTGACATTACTCCTTAATTTGCAAGGTTTAAGCTGACTAGTACTTTATTTATATATAATCAAAACTCCTGTGCTTTAGAACAGTTCAGATTTTAATTCATTCATTCAATAAATATTTACTGAATACCTACAACAAGCCAGGCAGGGTTCTAGGCTCTATTTATATGTAAGTAAACAAAAGTGACAAAAATTATTTTCTTCTTGGAGTACATAATGGACTGGAAAATGTCAGTGAAGTGTTGAATTCTTTACACTGATTTACTGGGACACTCAAATTCCCTTTCTCTGGGAAAAATGTGCTAATAGTAGAATTGGGACTCCAGATTCAGGAAAATGCTTAAAGATATTTTTAAGAAACATAATGAATGATGCCTACATACATGTATCTAATTT